ATACATCATCTGGCAGTCTGGTAACGCTGTCATCCAGCCTCGAGGAGGTTGGGTTGTTTAACTCGTGCCATCGGGCAACATCAACAGAACAAACTACATGGCAAAATAGCTGTGATAGGGTAGCCGAGAGGTAGTTGAATGCAGCGCTAGATGAGTGCCATTTCTAGCGGTGTGAACAAGCCTTCGGAATATACGTGGAAGCCCTCGCAACCCCTCACGATCAGTCTCCGCATCTAAAAGACATATGTCGTATTGCGGAAACCCTGACTCTGCAGACCTACTGCAGCATCCAAACCAGCCATGGAAGAGATTCTCTCGCGCAGTCGGGGGGTAACGCAGCCATCACCCTTCCCAAACGGAGCCCACAACCCACGCTGCATAACCCACAAGTCTTCCCATATCCATAGATTCCTCCCTGCAATTCAAGATGCTAGCGTCCACACAAAATCTTTTGTCCCGCCACGACCCACCATGTTGAAAATGATTCATCCCTTGGAGGAAAGGGAAGCGCCTAGCACGGCGCCTATCCAACACTTTTTTTTTTTTTTTTTTTTTCCATGTGGGAGCTGTCGCATTATTTGCCCGTCTCTCCGGCCCTAACATGGCAGCATGGCCTCTATCACTGTTGATCTGGCTGATGTGTCCGTCAGCGAATTTCTGATTCCCCAACTGAGTCACCTGTTGCCATCGCCACCTACCTAAATTTGACACTCACAGGAGTCCTAGATTAGTAGATACATTGTCCGCGATGGAATAGGTCGACGAGATTCCCAAATCCAGATGGGTGGTACACTTCCAGGGTCGGCCGCTCTGGCAAATCATTCACACGAACAAATGCACAATTGTTTTTTTGTTTTTTTCTTAATTTCTCCGGCCCTTCATAAGCTAGATTTTACAACCCAGCCGTATACGGAAAATAACCGTGGGACGGTTAGACACGAAGAATTCCTCAACGCGGCCAGCAATTTAATACGACATCGTGAACGAAAGTGGGCCGACGAGAAGAGGGGGAGCTGTCATAAACCAGTTTACCACATAAAATCTCCTCTCATCATGTTCACAACCAATTCCAGGATATGGAATAAAGCTAACTGGTATTGTACAACTGTAAAGAGCTTGCATTAGTGTTGTAGTAAAACCTCGCCTCGCGCGATCAGCACTGTTTGCGGCGACGCGCCCCCGAGGCCAAGGCGAGGCAACTCCGCACAACGGGCTGAATTATTCACCACTGATCCCCCCAGAATCCCAGTATCCCAGTAGGTATTCCATCCAAACCACGAAAGTAGCAGTGAACCCCTACCACACCGCATCATCATCGAGCAATTCCTGGTGCGGTTGCTTTGTTAACCGGTTGATGCGTTCCGATCTTCATGGTTGGGAAATCTGGCATTGACTTATCCCTTACGTTAAACGAGTTGTGTATCCTAACTTTAGATGCGGCATAAGAAATTTCTTTAGCTCTCAGGAGAATAAAGGGGCTTGACCATGCGGAATTGGTTCAGAATCCCATCGCAGGCAGTTACCTATTGTACTGTACATACGGATTACACTATTGGCGTTGCAGATAATTCAAGGGTACAGGTACCCTTGGCTACCGTAATCGTAACCGCAATATTTATATATTACCAGGAAGGTAAAGTAAATCTTAATATCTAAATTATTACCTAACATAGGTATGAACCATCCCGAGTTCGTCAGAAACCATTCCCTGACGCACAGATCGGACGCGGCGGGTTGATCACCTGTGGATTTTCTGCGCCCTACATAGTACCAAGCGTATTATGCGCTCATACCTACAACTTTGTGCATTATCATATCCATTTTCGGCTCACTTCATCAGTCTCAAGTTAGTAAGAAAATGTAAGAAGAAAAAACAAAAAATCAGCCACTAGTCGTAAGGCTTGACATCTTATGACGTTGGAGAGGCTCCTTTGGGTGATTCCTGACGCCCGTTGGATTCCATGAATTATCGCTGTTATTATTACTATCATCTCGTTTTTTTCTTTTTTTTTTCTTTTTTTAATAGCAATCGATTTTTATTTACCCCAGAAAGATCCCGAGTAAAGAACGACGAAAGAGGGGGGCCGCGTCCGGATCGTTGGAACGGGTTCTCTTCCCCCGGAAAGGCCAAACGTCCAAGGCCAGGGCCAGCGAATCCATGATGCAATGATACCCAAGCCCCAACGTCCACCCACATGCGCGCGCGAAAGAGGAGAGAAAAAAGCCGGGTGAGTGAGGGACGACGGCGAGAATGAGTCTTAATAATTCCAGGTATCTAACCTAGTGTAGTTGTCATCGCGGGAGAAGGTAATAAATCGCTTTTAATTAACCTCTATTCACTCGCATTATCGCTTGTCTTGGGGGGGGGGGGGGGGGGGGGGGGCGGGGGTAAAGGTTTGTTTTTTTTAGGGGGTTTTTTTCGACGGGGGGTGTTTTTTTTTTTTTTTTTTTATAGAAGGGGTGATTTAA